CATTTGAAAAGGCTTACGTTTCTCAAGAGGTCGGCTTTCAGCCTAAAGTCGGGTCCTACCTAATCACAGTCAGTACTCCCTTTCCACCAACAGGTGGCGCTAGGCAATCCTGCTTTCTTTAAGCATTCTCCAGATCCAGGATTCACAAATGGTGGATCACAACAGCAAACCATGCCATACCCTCTTAAAATCTTGCTTTGCATCACTGTTTGGGGTAATCTATTTTCTCGTATATATGCATGAGACAGAAGAATTTGCTTAAAGCATGAGCTGAGACAAGGTATAGTGTGAGGCGGGTATTTCTTACCACACTGAGGACTGACTGCTTGGTTACCTGGACAACAGGGACACCAAACCCAGTAAACCTGGGAGTGAAGCAGAAAATAGGATGCAGTTTTGCTCTCTGTGCACAGTCTTTCATTTTCTGTGCCTTCAAGTGACACAGGACAGAAGGCAAGAAAATAACTTTCCATATGCCCCAAACAGTTTTGTTCCCCAGGGCATGGACAGATTGCAGAAGAAGCAAACCCGGTTCTGCTTAGGTGATTGTTGCTTAGCTTCTACTCTGAAGAATGGGCAATCCTTTCTGCTAACAGTTAATCACAGATCATTTAGTGATTGGTAAATGAGCAATGTCTGAACTCAGGAAGAGTCTGTAAGCACCAGTGCATGGTCTGTCATTGCATGCATTGTTATGTAAGAACAGGAAAACTGCAGAAAACGAACATGAACTCTGGGCAAAACAATCCCCAAACCTGCATGATTTCTCCCCACAGACTACAACAGGAATGAATGAAAAGTCATGCATTTTGAGAACATTGTGTCATTTGAGGAAGTGATGCGTTTTTAAACAAATTGCACATTTTGAGAAAGTGGCGCATTTTTTGAGTACACATTTTTGAACACAAATGTAAGTTCAAGAATTTGCAAACATTTGCGAAGGAAAAGGTACTCCTGTTCACATTGTAAATGGGGCATTTCAGAGGGATCTGCAAACTGAAATGGACATCATAGGCACCTGTAAGGTCGTCCTACATTTGGAAACTACTCAGGAACTTAGTTAATTCTTTCAGTCAGAAGACAAGGTAAGTGTAAGACTCTACCTGTGACCCAGGTAGGGCTGAACCAAGACATTTTGCTGGCTCAGGCAAAGATAGTACCTTCTCCCAGTCTACAGAAGCCAGCCAGATTGGCAGCTGAACCTTGCTTCAACACTGCTGACGGGGCATTTCCTACTTGCATCTGAGGAAAGCAGGTTCGTAGCCTTGCAGAGGGGGCGTGGGGATGCCCGCAGGGCACACACAGCTGTGTGCTGCAGCATCTTTCTGCTGCCATCCGCCCCACATCATCCGCCACCTGAAGAGGCACCTCATTCTGTCTCAGGGGGGTTGGCTCAGAGCAACAAATTCACTAAGTGGGGCCGAGTTTGGTGACACTCGCACAATATAAAAGGGAGGAAATGCATCACCAAAAAAGAGGGCAAAGGAAGGTGCAGAGCTGCCTAACATCTGCACTTGCCGATTTATACATATGGATCCACATTCAGAAGTAAGAACCGCTTTAACTTGAAATGCAACACAGCTCATCATCATGGGTTCCTGCTAGGGAAGGCAGAACCAGCCACGTTCAGGTTTGCCCACATTCTCTGAACTTCACTTCAAAGTTCAGTTCAGAGCACTCTCATTTCATTTGTGCCCAGATTCTCAGTCTCTTTGACTGGGGAAAATGCATGTTTCACATGTGACTTCCCAAAGACTGAAGTGTTAAGATGAATACTGGGGACGTGAATTTCAAAGTGGACTCTGGGAATCTACAAATACTTTTTTTAAGCAAAAAATGCACTCCTGTTCAGGTTTGAAAATGGGAAAAAGTTGGATGATTTGCAAACTAAAATGAAATCCTGGTACATCTCTAGCTGCTGGTCTGTCTTTTTATGTTTCTTAACTAGATAGCCTTGCAAATAGAAGGAACCTTTAAACAGAGGGCTTATCTTTGACAGCCTTTCAAGATTGCTTTCTGTGAAGAATGCACATGGCCGCTGTACTTTCTACAATGTTCTGTGGAGTTAAAGGACACAGTTCTCTCACTCTTTTGCTACAAAAAGTATCGCGCAATGCCTAGCTCAATTACATCTCCAAAACCTGTGGAACTCAGCTCCAATTAAAGTTATGTATAGATCCATCATTTTAGGAGTTAAAGCAAGTCATAAAAGTCCATTTGTATTCAACTGCCATGGGTTGGTGTTTTTTGCATGAAACAATTTGTATGAAAATAGCATATGTCACACAGGGCTCCTTAGACAATAAAACTGTACAATTTTAGATGGATAAAGAGTTCTGAGAAATAAAATACAATGCAGAAGGACCTGAACACCCATTACTGAACACCCAAGTATCGAATGCTACGCAGATAACCGAGACTCCAACAAATCTCTTTCAACATTCTTGCTTCTGGGAAAGACAACTAGGAAGATCACGGAAGGGAGAAACATCCTCAAAATCCCTACTCTAAAGCACAAGGGCTGGAAAACCCAGGTAATACCATACATTGTGATTAAAACCTATTGCTACAGGCTGTGGATTCACACATGCTTCTTTCCCAGCACTGATGTTTCCTTTATATGGAGAATTTGCAGAGAAATCTATCAGGTTTGCAACTACAGTGTTTCCCTCCAAATGAAAACTGCTCAGTAGTTCTGATCATCCAGCGTTGGATTCATTTTGCTTCCAGATGAGCCCCACTTCGATTTGAGCATCAACTGAAACTTTCTGAATCAGTTCAATTTTGTTAGGGATTCAGGATTTGGTTGGACGTGATGTACAGTACACCTCTACCTGATTCGAGTGAGTGCCAGCACTGGGAAGCAGCATGGAAGCAGCAGCTGCTTCATCCTCCCTGAGATGGAAAACTGGATGGAAGCTCTTCCTGAGCCAACAAAGTTCATGGAATAGTGCGTACCTCAAGCACTGAGTTGTGACACACAGAGAAAGCAAGCCATGAGAAACACAACAAGAATTTGACCTTTCAGAGAGAAGTGAAGTTATTAATCTCTCAGTTGTAGGTCATCACAGCCGGAGTATAACATTCTTTGGGGGCCTTTCCGAGTTTTTGCTTGCACAGACCACATTCTTAGCAGATAAGTGGGATCTATTTCAATTGAGTTACGGACCTCATTCAGCTCGTGCCTCCCCCCACCCCTCAGGACTATCCAACACACAAGCCGCACAGACTTCGAAGGTAGTGCTGGGCAGGGTTCCAGCTGAAACAGTGCCATAGAATGGACCACCAGCCAAGGCCTGAGATCCCTTCCTGAGCGAAACCTCTTGGCCTTAAATGCTGGGTTGGGAGATTGCCTGTTGTGCGACTCCCCGTGGAGGTTGTGCTAACAATGACAATTTTCTCCAGCCCCCCTGCATTCTAACTGGTAAGTGGAAAGGGTGATTTTCCAACCGTAAACACAGTTTTTCAGCTGCAACTCTCTCCTCCACTGTTACAAAACAATACAAAACAATGCTACCGAACTGCCAGCCACTTATTTTCACAGCCAAACATGCCTGAGTGCGAGCCAGAAATTCTGCTTTCTGTGCTTTTATGCCAATGCTCTAGTCTAGTCTGAAAAACCAGCATGTGTGTGGCAATCGTTGCGATGGGGGCGGCATAGAAATGTTTTAAACAAATAAATAAATAAAAATTGTTCCCTTTTCAACCCCACTGGCTGATACTGGGAGATGAAACAGAGAAGCACATGGCTGGATTCGGCCTCTGAATGGTCCCCACAGAACCCTGTAAAGGCCTTCACCCACGAAGGCTTCCCCTTTCAGTTCAATGCAGGCAGCAACTCCACAATCGCACTGTGGAAGGACCCGATCCCTCCACTGGAAGGGGTGGGGGACGCTCATGGCAGCAGTCTCCAGAGAGCCTGGGCAACGGTTGTGCAGCGAGGAACCGTGTCCTTCTCCACATCACGAGAAGCCTGCATGTGGTGAGGCTTAATCAGAAATACGGCAGGGCAGCAGCTTGCAAGCTGCTTCAGCAACGCTCGAATTAGGCCTCCTGAAAACAGGACCTGCCTCTTGATCAGGCGGGAGGCGTTTTTCAGCCTGAGAGCCCAGATGGTTCTGTCCTAGTAAATCGGGGGCTGCATGCAAGCTGGTTGGGGTCAGATCCTTGCTGATATTTGGCCCCAGTGTGATTGCCTGGACTCCATTCCTTCACACACACCCACACACACACACACACACATCATCATCATCATCATCATCATCCCTCTTCTTCTTCCATTGTATTTACACCTTGCCTTTCTTCCGCATTCATCAAACCCAAGGCCACTTACAAGTTCGCCTCTGCTCCGTTTTATCCTCACAGCAGTGACCCTGTGAGGAAGGTTAGGCTGGGAGCCTGTGACTGCCCCAAAGTCACGCTGGAGCTCAAAGGCTGGGTGGGGACCACTAGAGGCTCTCCGGCACCCCAGCCCAAACCTGGAAGGCTTTAACCACTGCACCACACCCTCACTTGCTCAGAAGTAAGCTCACTCATGCATCAACCCTCCCCCACTGCGATCGGGATTTTCAGAAAGCCTAATTGCAGCATGGGAGGGGTGATGGGGGTCACAGTCGGAGGGGAGGGTCCCCTGCAGCAGCAACCCTGCTCTCAAGATGCAGTTAAGCTTGCTAAAAAACAATCCCACAGGCAGCAGGGGAGGGGTGCTTTTTCAGGAGCAATGACAGGGTGCAGGAGGGTGTGGTGATCCATTCCTCCACCACCACCAGCATCCCCAAAATGCTGCAATCAGGTGTCACAAAGCTTTATAGAAGCCTCACCTGCAACTGGGTGAGGGCCAGAGTTTCCTCTTCTAGCATCTTATATCACTCATAAGCCAACTAATAAACTAGACTTGTTCCTTCTTCGCTTTCCATGTTGACAGTTCCGGTCAAAACCCCATAAGCCACATTTAAAGCAATTCCATCTTCCTTCTGTCATTTTTCCATGGGTAGACTCACCTCCTCCAAACGGTGCCCATATCACCCTCCGGATAGACTTCACCCAGTCCTCCATGTCATTCTGAGTGCTGGCCATAAGAAGGTATGTCTCATGGTTTGCTGTCATTCGCTCTCTGTCTCCTCCTATAACAGAAGAAGGCCAAACTTTAATGAAAACATTCTCCTTGCAACCCAAACCCACATACATAATCCACTGTGGGAAACACCTGCTTGATGGCAGGTGAGCAAGTACACAGGTAGGACAGTTCATCGCTGAAAACTGTTTGCAGCTTGAAGAAGCAGTGCTCTTGTATCAGTAACAATATAGTCTGTTCCTGTTTAGCACAAGGGGTTTCAAGGTGGCTGATGAGAAGCCATGGGGTTCTTTCAAAGAATCTCATTCTTCTTTAGAAGAATATCATTTTCTCAGTGAGACAATCCTTTGTTTTTGATGAGATCTTAATAAAATATTATTTTATTATATGATCCAATATTGTGTTATAGGGCCTGATGTGTTCAATAGCAATCCTTCTCTTGGATTACAGTTCCCACAGGCCCAGAACTCCTGAACAATGATCAAAGGGATGGGAATTGTAACCCAAAACATATGGAAGGCAACCTGTTGGAGAACACTGGCCAACAGTTAGTAGGAGAATATAGTTAATGCAGAAATAGCAGCATTTCCATACCGCCTATGCTATGTTGTTCTTGTTAGTCGCGAAGTCGTGTCCGACCCATTGCGACCCCATGGACAACATTCCTGCAGGCCTTCCTGTCCTCCACCATCCCCTGGAGTCCACCTGAGCTCACACCAACTGCTTCAGTGACTCCATCCAGCCACCTCATCCTCTGCCATCCCCTTCTTCTTTTGCCCTCAAATGTTCCCAGCATTAGGCTCTTCTCCAGGGAGTCCTTCCTTCTCATTAGGTGGCCAAAGTATTTGAGTTCCATCTTCAGGATCTGGCCTTCTAAAGAGCAGTCAGGGTTGCTTTCCTTTAATATTGACTGGTTTGATTTCTTTGCAGTCCAAGGGACTCGCAGGAGTCTCCTCCAGCACCACAATTCAAAGGCCTCGATTCTTTGGCTCTCAGCCTTCCTTATGGGCCTATGCTATACAGCATGGCTGAAACAATTAAGTATTACAGGGGATCAAATTCATTCACATTTTATGATAACATATCATGGCACTATGGGCTGCAGTTTCAGCCAAGATGATGCCACCCTACTGCTTTTATCTATTTACATGTATTTGTAAAAGCAGTTCTTACAAGGTCCCCCATAGGGGTTCACACGAAAAGAACCAAACGAACCATTGACTAGGAAAGACTAAAACCTTAAATTCAACAGGAGCAGAGTTACAACATCAAGAGCACATTAAAGATCACTATAAACCAAGAAAGATAAGGAATATATCATTTTCCCTGCCTACCTAAACACCTTTCAAAGGGAGTGAATATACAAACACAGAACTCCACCTTCATATTCCATGAAGGACGGGTAGGAATGCGTGCGTAATTGGAAAGTATGTCAGTACTGACAGCATCTTTAACCTCCGTCCAGGTGTTCCAGAAAGAAAGAAGGAAATGAGGATCTTTATTCTAAAACTTCAATAGTTATTAGAAATAGGTGAATCTGTCAAATCTTTTTTCAATTTTCTGCCTCAAAGTCCAGAAGTTAGTTCAGTGCCAGTTCCATACAGATTTTTTTTTTCCTGTGGAGGAACGATTCATTTATATTTTTATTTTTAAAAGCATCTATTTTTGTGAGAATCTACCTGAACACACCAACATTGTGATATTTTCAATTCCAAAAGTTAACCTCTTCTTCTCGGAGGAAATTGGCAGCATATGATAGGGCCGGGTCTTGATTTTCTTGTTACTGTTTATTATTTAAAATTATTTTTTAGATACATGTGTGTCTATTTGTGTACTGTATGTGTACATGTATATGGTTTTTATAAAATATTTTAAAAGTTTTAATCTTTGTAAACCACCCAGAGAGCTTTAACCAGGAATATAATAAAGAAGACTCCTGTGAGTCCTTGGACCCCAAGGCGATCAAACCGGTCAGTCCTAGAGGAGATCAGCCCTGATTGCTCTTTAGAAGGCCAGATACTGAAGATGATACTTAAATACTTTGGCCACCTATTGAGAAGGAAGGACTCATTGGGAAAGACCCTGATGCTGGGAAAGATTGAAGGCAAAAGGGGAAGGGGACGGCAGAGGATGAGGTGGCTGGATGGAGTCACTGGGGTGGTGGGTGTGGGCTTGAGTGGACTCTGGGGGATGGTGGAGGACAGAAAGGCCTGGAGGAATGTTGTTCATGGGGTCACGATGGATTGGACATGATTTCACGACTAACAACACAACAACAACAACAACAAATAATAAAGGGAATGACATTTTTGTGTGAATCTTTCAGATCATATATCCTTTCGTATGCATCCATCCATTGATTCCAGTATGTTTGTGCACTGTTTTGAAATATGCACATTTTTCTTTACATATTTTTCAAATGTGTTCACTTCATTGAATGCCTCTTTTCCTTTTCTGCAGCACATGGCTCAAATCCAGACATGTATGGATCTCCAAATACAAAGTGTGCTTGCCCCTTGTCTGGAGGAAGCCATGCAACCCCCCCCCCCCTTGATGGAGGGGACTTCTCACACATCCCTGAGAGTTATTAGCAATTAATGAATTACTGTAAGCCCAGCCAGCTTGGCCTCATATGCAGGGTACCACCAGGTGTAGGAGCCTGGGAGGAGGAGCTGCGCGCTCACCGAAAGGTCCACATACAGCATGCCTGATATTGAGGAAATCGGCTTTACAAAGCATCTCAAGACATGCTGTGCGGCACTGCAAGAGATGAGTAAACACATGCCATTCTCAGAAAGAAGGAAACGTTAATAGCCGAGGCCTGCCGGAGGGGTGATCTACAGATAATGCCACAATACCTCGGTCTGTCTTTCCTATAGCGCTGCCAGGAGCATCAGCCGACTCTCACTCCAAATGACAGCTACTTCAATGTATTCCTGACAGAGGCGAACGAGGCGATAAGCACCATTGGCCACGAAACGACTCCCTTTAGAAGGCACTCCATCTCCTTGAACGGAGCCAGTGTCCAATCTTTCAGCCCTCAGATGTTCATTTGGTTAGACGTCAAACGGCAAAACGATATCAGCACTTCATATCTGTAGCCCAGGCAGAAAATGTAGCATTGCCTAGCAGGCCTGTTTTAGGATTCCCCCTTCCCCACCCTCTTTTGCCCCCACCCCAAGGCTGTGTGCATTCACACAGTAATTGCAGACGAAAAATCACCCGTGTGATTACGGCTAAGAGCACGGCTGTGGGAGATGTGGGCAGGCATCTGGAAACTCTACCCATGTCCTGTGTTGCTGCAAATTCACCTGTCGTTGTGCACGCGCGGAGAGTGTATTTGCTTAGGGAGAGCAAGAACCGGATGCAACACAGTAAAACAATAAAGCGAACATAGCTAGGAAGCCTAGCAAACTCTGGTGCCATTTTGTAGCACGAATCTTACAAAGAGCAAGCTCCTCTGAGCAAATCAATTAAAGCTGCAGCCTTAAATGCACCAGACGAGCACTGCTGAACACAGTCGCACAATCAGTGAATATACATTTCATTTGACTTCATTTGACTGTCCATTGATCAGCCACCAGTTGGGAAGCAGGGAAAAGGCCTGGGGAGGCTTTAATCTGCCCCCGCCCTGGGCCGGTGACCCAGCTGCTGCTATGTTGAGTAGAATTGCTGCGGAATTGTTGCAACCTGCCCCCCCCCCCACCGGCCTGAGTGACCCTGATGTCGCTGAGATGGTCGTTTCTCTGCTGCTGATAGCAAGAGGGAACCAGCATTGCTAATTAGTATTCCTTGCTGGGGAGACTTTAAGAACTCCTCCTGCACGGACAGATGTGCTGTTTCCCAGTGGGGAAAGGGCATTTTTGAGCAGGTGTGCTAAGGGGAGGCCTTCCTCTCACTGCAATTCCTCCCCAGCAATCTTGGCCCCCCTGTAGTGGAGACTGGGTGCATGTCTGCATGGATGAGAGTGCTGCCTGTGTGATTATGCCTGTGCATTGGGTGCATGCTTGCATGGGTTGGTGTGAGTCTAAGAGAGGCAGGGAATAGAGTGGGGTGTACTCGCCGGTGCGCATGTGTTCACCTGTATGCCCATTTAAGCATGTGCATCTGGATTTATGGCAGGGACAAAAAGTTGCCTACTAGGAAATGAAACCACTAAAGACAGAAACGTCATTCTGTTCGTTCAGTTGATAGCTGTTCGTCCATCCACCTCCATCAGTTTTGTATCATATCATATCATATCATACCGCATTGCATCGCATCGTATTGCATCTTATTTTTTTCTTCTTCACGCATTCTAACCCATGAAGGTCACCGAGAGTGAGCTCAGCCTAAACATGAGCTGCCTTTCCATAGCTTGCCCTACTGAACACTTCTGTGGAACTGAAAAGCTTGCATATCCTTTAAAGTTTGTCCAGTGAGATAGTGAGGGGGAAGGAAATGTTCTCTTCTTCCTTTCTTTTAAGCTGTGTTTTGTATAGTGTTTGGATTTCCTAAGGAGCACTACAGACAACACTCCAGTTTGGTATGAAAGGGATGTAACCAACTTGTCCTCTGTAGCTCTCTGTTCCTTGGAAAGGTCAGTCTCTCTCTTCCTCCCACCTCTGCAAAATGGTTTATAAGTAACTCATTCCAAATCCCTTGCAAACTCATATGCATTCCAGTGGTTTGGTAAATAGCAAGTGAAGAGCCAGTGGACTTCTTTAGCAAGGCTGATGCTGACCACTCCACCTCATGCTGGGTGCAGCTTTGTGTTTGGATGTGAGCGAAAATATTCCAGGAACTTTTGGGCAGCAAATGCAAAACGCCGTGCTCGACATCAAGGGAGTGTCATTTCAGAGGTGCCTTGCACCACATGGGAGAGAACTGAAGGAATCTGCATGCGATTTTGCAATGTTCTGCTCTAAGCACTCTTTGAACAGGACCACCAACAGTGGTGGTCCATTTTTGGAATGATCTACCCAAACAGCTTCCTTGCATCCCCGTGTGATTAAGCACATCTAGAAAGAATCCCAATCTGTAAAGCAAAACTGTTTTTCTCTGCCCAGA